GGGGGGGGGGAAGGGAGGAGTAAGTGAATGTTAACACTTGTATAGATTATTATTTAAGGGGAGGAATGTCCATATTCTGAAGAACCAAGCCAAATGGGTTGAAAGCCTTGAAAACTGCCCAAAAGGACCAAAATTCAAAAATACTGTCTGGGATTTGAACCAGAGCCATCTGCTCCGTAGCCCAGCATTATTATAAATGGTTCACAGTCAGAGCAAGCTGAAGTTGCAAGCGGAATCCTGTAAGGATCAGTTCTAGGCCCCCCTCCTGTTTGTAGTTTACATTAATGATCTTCCCAGAGGTCTTAAAACGACGCCTAGAATGTTCGCTGATGACACAAAGCTCTACGTTAGAAATGACACTGTGAATGGGCCGCAAGATTTACAGGATGATTTGAATACTCTCCGAGAATGGTCTCAACGATGGTTACTTCGTTTCCACTCGCAAAAGCGTTATGTCCTAAAAGTTGGCAAAGACAATGATAATTGATACTTTATGGACCAAGCACTGGATAGTAGCATCTCAAGACGCAAACTGAATATATATAACAAAGAGAGAGAAAGATTTGGGAGTTGTGGTCGATGATACACTAACCTTAAAGGAGCACATAACCCAGTATAACATCAAAAGCGAATCATATTGTTGGACTTACCAGACGATCATTTGACTACTTTTCTGAGGAATGTTTGTTTTGCTCTACAAGAGTTTAGTGAGGCAGTTATTAGAGTATGCACACTATTTGGTAACCCTTTGAAAAAGGATTATGTAGTAAAATCGAGCAAGTTCAAAGGTGGGTGACCGAAATGCTGAGTCACCTCAAATAAAACACTTATTCTGAAAGACTGAAGAAACTAAAGCTTCCATTCCTAGAACATTGTAGGTTACGTGGTGATATGATGGATACATATAAGTACATCAAAAGCTACTACATCACCAAAGACCAACTTTTACAAAGGCAACAACCACACCGCTCCATGGCAACTCAGAGAAGCTCCAGAAGCTAAGAAGCAGATTGTGTGTGAGGGCAAACTTCTTTGAAAATGTTATTTAGAACCATCTCCCCAAGTCAGTAGTGTTAGCTCCAACAGTGGACGCGTTCACAAAGATGTCTGGATGAATACTGGAAGGATTTTCTGATGATCTACACCCCACTTGCCAAGATGAATTAGTTAAGTCTAGCCTGCACGCAATGCATAGTCAGTCAATTTTCCAGATAGTCGAACTGGCTCTTCTACAGCTTCTACCGACTTAATCATAATTGTCAATGCTTTATTGGGTGAGTAAATACCATCATAAGTACTCATTTTTCTTGTGACATCTATAGTAAGAAATATTCCACAGTGGCTGTCAGTATTTAAATTTTACCACATAATTTTCTGTTTTATTTTTCAGAAACATATACCATGATCGACCCAATGATCAGTTATCCAGATGGTCATCAGACTCCAACAATCCTCCACAGGTAAACGAGTCATTTTGTCAGTATGGTTGTAATTTCTATGTTTACACGAGCCAATGTTATGGACTTTATTTTAAACCAGGCTTTGAAGTCGTTGAAGTGGTTGGCTTATTTTTGGATGGGTTGATTGTTATGTAGTTGCACTTGAGTGTCTGCTGCTTCCTTATATCGTCTTGAATTTTAGTCATAATGATACAAGACCTGCACTGGCATGGTCAAGTTCTCAATGAAGAAATTTACGAGTATTTTACCTACAAGGTCAATCCAAGCTTTTAGGCGTTTTTTAAAAATGACAATAATAATACAATATATAGAATCTTACAATATAAGGTCAAGAACTTTCAACTTTTTGCCCCTGAAAGTTAAGATGCAGGAGCTATTGTTATGGGTTATAATTTTTTTTTTATTCTTTCATTTTCCTGAATTGTGTTTGTTGTCAGTTTAGGAATAGGTCCATTTTGTTCATACTTTGTTGCTTTACTGCACTTGGGATTGTTTAAAAACACTGTATGTTTAACAATAATTTATTTTTTTAAAATTTATGATGCTGCCACTTTTAGATTTCTTTTACACAAGAGAAGGTTATTGACTCTTCTTCTCTTTTGTTGTGTGTTTATTGCAGTTTCTTGTGCTGAAACTCGAGAGACCAGCCATTGTGGAATCCATTTTATTTGGGAAATATGAAAAAATACATGTGTGCAATTTGAGGAAGTTTAAAGTGTATGGGGGTCTCTCTGAAGACCACATGGTGGAACTATTGGATGGGTAAGATTTTTATGCAAAGGCAATTTTTTATATTGCATTCTGTTTGTATCCCTGCTATGAAATTTCCTTTTTGCTTTAGTGTTAAGATCTGTTTGGTGCTCCAGATGAGACCCGTAGAGACATATTATTGTTTTACAATGTGCTTGTTCGATATTTGAGGTAGGTTTCCTATGCATTAGTGTTCTTATTTTGTACCACTTTAAGAGTTGAAGAATCTTTAACTTTTATGATACTGTCTCAACGGCTTTTTTTCTCGTGTAGTTCCCTTTCGCCCTTTCATTTTATGATGGGCATTGGGAGAGCATGCCAGATTCTGAATTTTGCAAGCTGTTGGTTGAGGAAGCTGGCCAAACGTGCAAAATTTGAGAGTTTGCATCCACATTGTGCCTTGATCCACTCTGGATTTATGCGGTGTATTTTTATTATCAGTGGGGATTTAAGTTTTCAAACTTTGATATTACCTATATTATAGTGTCTAGCAAAGTGTTCTTTCGTCCATGAAATGTGCGTGTGTTTTATTATGAGGGGTTACTCAAAAGATTAGGAGTGGAACATATCTAACACTAAGGGTTTGATGACATATTGTTTCTATTACACACTGAGTACGTAATTCAGACTTTTGTAAAGTTAACTTTTCATCTTCCAGGGGCCTGAAAAATGATCATGTTGCTGAGACATTTTCTTTGCGCCATGAGTTGGACGGCAACCCCTTTCCATGTCATTTTGTCAAAATTGGTAATGATTTTTTTTATTTTTGCTCTAATGTCTGTAGTTAATATTTGTGTAAAACAAATGTTTGCATTTTTTCATATGAACCATGAACTTGTTCAATCTTGTATTTAGAGAACTTTTTGGAGTCGTGGAGTTCTTTGAAATAAATTGTATAATTGAAAATGTACATTTTATGTGATGTTAATGAACTTGCCAGCTTTGTTTAGCTTAATAAATGTATTTTTATAGGCTACTGTTCCTGTTACTGAAACTATATAATATATATTTTCATGCTTTTTGTTAGGTTTTAGAAGATTTTATTGAATTGTCCCTGGCTGTAGGGGCCTAAACCACAGTATGTTCTTTGAACTTCTAGATGTAGCATCTGGATAGTAGACATGTAGGGCGGGTGGTTGGTGGGTGCTCTGCTGTGGTTGTTTCTTCTTTCCTATCAAACATCTATCGTCTTTATCTCCCCTTCTTCTTTTTTTATGTTTGTTACTCTCTTGTAACACCTCTAATCTTCTGGCACTCATATGACCTTATGCAGTTGCGAGCGCCGTAAAGCCTCTACTAAAACTAAAAAAAGATATGTAGATTTGTAAAAGTTAATCTGGCCACTTACATTTGGAGAATTGAAAATCAGACCATGCATTTTGCTAGCTTAATCACTGACAGACAGTGCACATTATATTTAAGGAAGAGCCAGGCAGTGTGGGAATTTGTCAGTTAGAAAGCATTAAAATTTTTAAAATTAATTGAAATTCAATAAGATGGTGGAACTTATTTTCCCCTGAATGTTCAGTTTTTCTTCTCAAACATATTGAATGATAGTGTTGAAAAGTCAATGAAAAGCTCACCTCTCACTTACATTTTTCTTTGTAATTGAAACTGCATAACCTGCTACTCCACCACTCACTTTGAAATTGTGAAATGATATAGGTTTAACTCCCAAATCAACACTGTTGGGCTATTTAAGAGGTGGAAATACCCCCTGGGGCGGTTCCGCTGACTGAAGTGTCTTTAGGCCATTCCCAAAGGGGGGACATTTCTCGTTCTAATGCACAGTAGAATTGTAAATGGGCTGATCCAACAATGTCATGCTCATAACTGTGCTGGAACAGCATTTATATTATAAGGGGTACTACTGCTTTTTCTATCCAAATCTTTACAATCGTCATTTTCCTCTATTTTTTTGTATGCTTGTCACACTCTTGTGACCCACTATTTCCGAGGTGCCTTGATAGTCGAAGCAGACTTTGTGCTGTTGAAGCTAGAGAGGTGAGCAGAGTAAGTCTGATTCCCTGTAAGGACTTCTCTTTTGACATCCACCCCTTGGTGCTCATATGTCCTTATACAGTTGCAAGCGTTGTATAACCTCTACTAAAACTAAACTAAAAGAGGTGGAAATTTTTACTTTAGAATTTATCTTGTGACAGTGCCCTTGCAAGCGTGGGGGCCAAGTTTCAACTTCAGCATTTGGTATGTGGAGCTGATTGGAAACAGCCGCTGGGAAGATGTTCGGCCTTGTATGAACTGGTACAACACTGTGAGTTGGTGCTGATATTTTACTGCTTACAGTAGTAGTGTTTTTCTTCTCATGTGTCATTAGATGAACCCAAGTGTTATTATAATTACATGTATTTTGTGTCTTAAAAGTGACCTAATGTGACATTTCCATTCCATGCATGTAAAGCATTTTAGTGTCCAGTCTTTGATTTTGGGAGCTCCAAATGGAGACGGACATGTTGATCATCATCAGCCATGTTGAAGAGAGAGGGTGTCAGGTTTCATGTACCAATCGTCCTATGTAACTAGTAAGTCAGTATTCTTTTTTTTTTTTCTCATAATTTGACCTTTATTGAGTTTTTTTGTGTGTGTGTATGTGTGTGTATGTGTTCATAATTTGAACATACTCATTATAATTGCATCACCTGGTTTTCTTAAATTTATTTTCCAGTATCGAGAAAGAGAAGCCATCCGTCTTTGTTTGAAACACTTTCGTCAGCGGTGCTACACTGACGCATATGAGGCACTGAGCAAAAAGACAAACATCACACTTGAACACCCAATAGTAACACAACTGCACACTCTCCTTGTAAGCGTTTTATTTGTTAATCTTTAAAAAAAAAAAAATACTTTCTTTGCCTTTTTTTCCCCATATCTTTGCTCTTGTGGGGGTTTTTTCATTGTCACCCAGGACTTTTTGCTTATCACTGCAGTCAATAATTAACATATAAACAGTTAATACAGTTGACCATAACAATTTACTTTAATTTTCTCCATTTAACAAAAATGTTATTTATTTAATATGTCAGATCAGAGTAAATTTTACTGATTGGTTGGGGGGGGGAGGGATGAATTTCATCTTTTTATATTTCATTGCTGTGATCAGCTTGTTGGTGTATTACTCACATTATTTATCTGTGAAGCATTTGTAGAGAACGTGGCCATATATCTGTTGCAGAGGTCAGTGAGGAAGATACACTAGGCCGGACAAGTCTTTTCTGATATTTTTGTGTGCTAATTGGAATGTTTTGTTTCCACACACAGGTGGTAAATGCAGACTTCAAGGCCTGTGAAGAGTTGATTACTCAAGCAAGCGAAGGTAACACCTTTTGTTTTCCAACTTAAAAGCAGAGACTGTTAAGGGGGAAATGGGGTGGGGGTGTCTGCTGTGAGAATGAATAATTTTTTAGTTTGAGATGAGAACTTGCTTGTCTTTTTTTTTTTTGTCGGTTAGTACATATGCACTTTAAAGTGTAGCAGTAAAACCAGATACTTGTCTTCTAAATGTACATGGCCAGAACCGAGAAGAAATTAAATGCCTTAGGTGCCCACAGTGTAGCTCTGGTGTAGTTGTAGCCTCCATTTGGTCCTATGGTCAGAGTTGTAGCTTATTTTGAGGGAGGGGAATGGGGGTCTTGATGAGGTGAGTAAATTTTGAAAATTCTTCGCTCCAGTTTTGAATGTGTGCCGTAAATTCTGACCTATTGTCTCTTTTATATGCTGGTCCCTCCCTTGATGATCGAAGGGTGTTGATACTTTTTTCCTAGCACTGAATTACCCTGGGCACACCATTTACTCAGTATCATGCTTCTCTGTAGTGCAGGTATCCCTTATATGAATTACCAGTTAACCATTTCTGAAATTGGGTTGTTTTATTCCACTGCACAGGTTGGAGGGCACCACTTGTAGGCCTTACTTCTTTAATTTCCCTTCTGTTTTTTCTGTCTGTCTGTCTGTCTTTTTCCCAGCACTAAATGACCATTATTGTGGCAATGTACTTCTCTGCACTCGAACAAACAAGGTCCTCCACATCAACTTGGGTTAGTGCTATTGGGGATGAATTTTGAATCAGAGGGTCTCCTTTTAACAAACAGTCTTTCTGTTTTGAAAGGATCATAATACTAATATGGTACCTTGCCTTATTTAAATGACCATTATCTTGTTAATATGCTTCTGTGTAATTTGTTGGAAACAGCATGTCTGTCTACTCTGAATGCTACTAGAATCCTTTTTATCAATTTGAAACAAGCAGATTTTTTTACTCCCTTTTCAGAGGGCATGTTTGAGCAGTACATCAGCCAACAAGACTACAGGCCAGAGTGGACTCCCATTCAGCCGGTCAAAAGTAAGAGTAAGTTTCCAGAGTTTAGAATGGATGACAAAATCTGCACAGTGAATGTTCACTGCCACAAATGTCAATGCATGCACATGAGCTCTGTTAGCATGGGTCAATCGAGAGGCTCTGTTGATATGCCATTGATGCCTCTGAATCACCTTAACAGCGCCACGTACTGAAAACTTATTAAAGAATTGCAATAGTATCTTGACGAGATTGTCAGATAAGCAAAAGCTTCTGAGGCTATCAAAAGGTACCAGCTCTTTAATGTCATCTATTAAATGAGTGATGTATGGTCCGTAAAAGAGCAGGCAAAACAAAACTGCCACAAGAAAGCTGGAGTTTGAAGACTGCGTTACCAATGGAAAGTCTACAGGAAGCTGACAGATCGCTACATTAGAAATACAATGTTCTATTTGACATTTTTTGCCATTTTGAGTTACTAAGATCTTGAGGTCAGACTGTAAGATTATTCAGAGTTGTTACCAAGATATTCACAGAATTGCATTTTAAAAAGGTTGACATGATGTGAACCTCAAAATCTTTGACTTTAAATTTCTCAAAACTACGTACTGAGCAGATAGAGCTTTGTAATTCTGAGGTAGCGAGATGGCAAGACAATTTCTCCTGCAAAAAAAGAAAAGACAAGTGATAAAGATGGTGAGGAAGACAAAAGATAACATAGTCAGAACTCATAAGTAAGAAGCTGTTTGACCCTCTGGGTGCTCAAATTACTTTTATGCTGTTTTATGGATGGACTGGCCAGTCTGAGACATCCCCTCCCCCACCCCTGCTGGGTCTAGAATGAACAGTTTGTAAAATCTGTGGTGTTGCTGTCAGAAATAAAATTGGATTCCTTCTGTTCCTTGTCACTCCAACCCTGAACCCCCCCCCCCCCCCCCCCCAAAGCCCAACCCTAATCTATTGCTCCTTAAAATCAAAATGATTCTGACACTTCGAAGGTGTCTCGACTTGTTGAAAAGCAACACAATTGAGTTTGAAAAAGGAAATAATGATGGATATGAGCAAAAACAAGCATATGACAAATCAGATTAATCAGATTTGGATGAAAACATTGTAGCAAGAGTTTGTGGAGATTCAGATTGATCAGATGTAGAATTTAGATCTAAGGCCCGACTGCGACGCTGAGAGTGGTTGACAGGTCGGACGCCCAAATTGAAGTAAAGTTAGAACATTTTCAACAGTTTGTGCATACATAAAGCTATATTTTTTAAAACTACATTCATTTTTCTTTTTTACTTTTATTTTTTTAGGGTTTTTGGAATTTGTTTAGTATTTTTTTAATGTGTTTTTTAAATGCTTGTATTCACGGGAGGTGGGTTTCTTCCCCTTGCTTAGGATCTAGGAATGGACTTCTCGTCCAGACCCTTAGGGTGTAATATGTTAAGGCATTTTTGTGCCTCAGCATTTGACCGGACCTGGTCTTACAGCTGGAAGTCATATTGATACACTTCCTGCCTTAATTTGAAGTAGCACATATTTAATTCCCCCTATCAATGATCTCTTGTATGAGGGAAGATCATGAGTGGTCAAGTGACAGTGGACCTGTAGCTTTCGACGATACTTTATATGAGACGTTTAATAAGGATATGTATGTTGCGCCCCCGGATGAATGTTTAAGTCATGACTGAGGATTGTGCTCTTGCTTCCTCTCCCTTCCACAGAGTCTGAGGTAGGATCTGAAGCCCGTCCAGGGATGCGCGGAGGTCATCAGATGTGTATGGATGTGCTGACGGAGACAATCTACATGTTCGGTGGCTGGGATGGCAACCATGATCTTGCCGACCTCTGGTCCTACCATGTTCCTTCACACGCCTGGACCTGTATATCCAGGGATACGGAGAAAGATGTAAAGGGTTTTAAAAGATTGCTACTAATAGTTCAGTTATGATAATTTCCACACAAAAGTGAGGGTAGAGTGGACCTGAAGGAAGGTCTGTAAGATCTTTGGTAGACCTAAATTTCAGTGACTTGTTTTGTTGCTCAGGAGATTCTCTGTCCGCCGATGAAAAAATAAGGGCAACAAAGTGAGAGGCCATCTTGAAATATGAAATAGTAGTATTTACTCGCTCTCAAGGGGATTTTGAATTGGGTATTTTTAAAAAAGGTATGGGGAGGAGGGGGGGTGTTATTCATCTTTTTTAACAAAAAGAATCAAAATCAAAATTTTGTTGCAGTTATTCCATTATAAGTAGTTTTACAAAGTTCTCGTCATAATTGTCCATTATACATGTACACAAGAGTGATGCAACTTTTTTTTACTTTGTGTTCGTACTCTTTTGTGTTTACAGTTCCTCTTCCATAGCAGATTCCTATACGTAAGATGGCAAGATTCAGAAGAAGTGTGAACACTGACAGTTTTTGTCTTTATTCTATCTATAATTGACTTTGTTACCACCTTGTCAGCAGCAATCTGCTGCAGGTCTGGGGGTTTTTTAAAATTGTTTTTTGATGCAGGTGTTTTTTTATGCCCTCCTTGACACAGTTTAGATCACTACTAATCTGTCTTCCTCCTTAATTTGTATTGCCTTCTGTCTGTTTCTTGTTTTACAAAATCGATAAGAGTAGGCTTCGCCGCCTCTCTGGCAAAATTAAAAATTAATTCCTACCTAACTGAAAATGTTTAAAGTGTCTTGCTCGTTCATATGACCTTATGCAGTTGCAAGCGCTGTAAAACACTAACCAAAACAAAACAAACTTGCTTTACACAGTCGTCGTCTGTGAGTTCTTACCAGAATAAAACCCTTTTGCTGTCTGTATGCTCACACTCTATTCCGCGGTCTGTTTCAGGGAGGCCCGTCTGCCCGCTCTTGTCATAAAATGTGCCTTGACTACGAAAGAAAGCAGATTTTCACGCTAGGGCGGTACTTAGATTCGTCCATGAGAACACCCAACAGATTAAAGGTGAGCACATCATTGTTGATATTGTTATGGGGCTCTTCCTTATTATTTATCTTTTATCAAAAACAGTTTTACTCGCAGAGAAAGCATAATTTGCTGTGTTGACAGTTAACTGACTCGAGCAACTCTTCGATGAGAATTCATGACCCTGGAACATTGTTGGTGGGTTTGTCGAGAGAATTGATTGATGGGTCTTCAACACTGGAGCGTAAAGCCATTTTGTTGAAGAGCTTTCTGGACCCTTTTGATAATAATAATAATAAGAGCATTTGTATCCCGCCTTTCCCCACAGCATGGGCCCAAGGCGTACATAGGAGACTAAAAACGCATTCATACTAAGACCATACAAATTCATCATGTGCGTTCTTTTTTTACAGCAACATTCTTTCAGACAATAAAAAATGCTCATACAAAAAGGCAAAGGTACTGTCCATTAATTAAAATATTTCTTAAATTAATGTGTTTTGAGTCCCCTTTTAAAGGTATCAAGTTTTATTTCGCTCCTCAAATCAAGAGGGAGAGTGTTCCAAGCTGTTGGCTCAGAAAAAGAAAAAGCTCTCTCACCATATTTCTTCAGTGACACAAGAGGTGTTGAAATTAGCCTAGAGCCACTGGATCTTAGTTCACGGGATGGTGTGTATGGTAAAATGAGTTCTTGAATGTATGTGGGAGACTGGTTAGTTTGACCTTTGAAGCTTAGTAGGGCTAACTTAAATTCAATTCTCGCTTTCAGTGGAAGCCAATGGAACTCTTTAAGAAGGGGAGTCACATGATGGCATTTTGATTGCTTTAATACTAGCCGGGCAGCATTGTTTTGAGTGCGTTGGAGTTTTGCAATTTTTTCTTCGGGTAGGCCAGCGAACAGTGAATTCAAATAATCAATGAGTGACAAAATGAAGGCAAACACTAGTTTTTTGGTGGCATCAGTGCTGAGAAATTTCCTTATGTGAGCAATTCTTTTCATTTCTAAGTATGAAATTTTACATAGATGGTTAAGTTGGGTCTCCATGGACAAGTCTTTGTCTAAGTAAACTCCTAGATTTTTTGCTTTGTTTGAAAAAACGACAGTACCTTTGCCAATGGTGAGACATTTTACATCAAGAGCATTTATCTTTGAGCTGGTTGAGCATGGCATGATTTCTGTTTTGTCATCATTTAATTTCAATTTATGATAGCACCTCAAGTATGTGGATGGATCTTACGCCACAACAATGTCGAATACCTTGGCTGCCTGCTTTTGCTAAACATTCCATGAACGTGTTGATGGAAGTACAAAACAACCACCTTTTGGATCATTCACTAACAATGTAGTCACTTAAAAGAGGTAACGTGGATATGCTGCTACATGGGTGTGACTGACAATGAGCAGGCATACAGTCTGGCAGGAACAGTTGTGAGAGGCAGGTGGATGCTGGACCCCTGACAGGACTACAGTTTCGTCCTTTTAGGACCAACTGTGTCTCCAACAGCAAACCCAATGGCAGCTCTCAACATTGGGAATGTAAGTGGTGGGCGGGTACTTTAATGTGGTCTGCTCCTTCTGTCTTATCATCTATCATCCTTATCCCCCCCCCCTCTTTCTTTTTTTGTGTTTGTTCCTCTCTCAGAATACCTCTAATCTTTGGCATTTATTTGACCTTATTGTGTTACATGTGCTGTAAAACTTATACTAAAACTAAGCTCATAAAAATTGGGAATATAAATGTTTGCCAGAGTGTTGCAACCAGCCATTGGTATATTTTATCCTTCCTTCTTTACAGTCACTGTGTTGGTAGGTGCTGTATTTTGTAATTGACATGTAATGTGTGTATCGTTTTGGTTGTTATGCCCCCCCCCATCATACCAGCTTGTGATTTTTAAGTTGTTTGTCCTTCTTTTCAGTGTGACTTCCACATGTACGACATACAGAGCCAGCAGTGGACTTTCATCACTGAGGATGCAGCATCAATGGGAGGGCCAAGGCTCATTTTTGACCACCAGATGGTCATTGACATAGAGAAGCAGACCATTTACGTTTTTGGTGGGAGAGTGCTGGTCAGGTGGGTGTTATTTTGATATTTTGAACTACTGAAGAACAAACACAAGTTGAACCAAAAAAATGTTCTTTGTTGAAAATCTAGGAGCAGATGTGACTAGTAAGCCCTGCATCTTTATAGCTCGTCTGTTGTCTCTATCTGGCTGTTTTTTTTCTTAATGCTGAGTGACTATTTTGGGTTGATGTGCTACTCTCTTACTCATGCAAGCAAGCACTTTCAAATATCTCTTTCTTAAGGGTAAAACTCAAACGCATATATATATATAGACAAAGATACGCATGCAACTTTGAAAAGATGTTATGCTTACTCTTAAAAAAGAGAATTTTGTAAAAGAATACTGGATAACAGAATATAACATTCTGCTTTTTCATGAATGAGCTCAACACTTTCACGTCCTAGATGACATTCCAGATTGCTTCTTTTTATTCACAAGGTATGTTCACTGTTCACTTCACAATTATTGACAAACAGGGACATGGCGGCTAATTTTAAGCTTTTTCTCAACTTGCGATGTTTTCAGTAGTTAAAAAAATTTGACTCCTATAAATGGTGTGTGTTGAAATTGCTTTGAATTCAAAGAATGTCACACTCTATTTGTTTCCTGTGTGTGTGTTTTTTTTCTTTCAGTCCCTCCGGAATTGAGAGTGAAAGATCTCCAGATCCAATCTTCAGTGGCCTGTATTCCTTCCACATCCCGTCAAATACATGGGCCTTATTAAAAGATGATGGCTCTTCGCTGAGATCTCGAATTGGCCACTCAATGCTTTTCCACCCGGTAATTTTGCCTCCCTTGACACACACTTTTTCTTTATTTGACTTTGAGTCCAAATAAAGCCTGATACAATGATGCTCTCATTAAGATCATACCAGGTTATTACAGTAAATTCTGCAATTGAGAATCAACGTGATCAAAATACATTGATAGTGATAGTCACAACCTTAGCTATTTTTGAAGCGTTTAGTATTCAAACTTTTCTGACCAGCAGTAAAGAATAAGAATATTTCATAATCATACAGAAGTGGAGTCTGAGTATTTTGGCAGCTGATGACTCTATTTTTGTTTGCCTTGGTTTATTTGTATCATATCAAATTACTAGATGATATAACACAAGATTTTAAGATTTTTTGGTGCAAATTCTGTATTGAAATAGATGAATTGAGACTTATTTTTTACAATGTGTCTCTTACAGGTGAAAAGGGAGTTGTATATATTTGCTGGCCAGAGAGCGAAGGAATACCTCAATGATTTTTTGTCGTACCATGTTGATACAAAAGCTGTGGAAATTGTGTCTGATGAGAAGAGGAAAGAAGGGTGTCAAGCAGGTACTGTAAAGCAGTTTTGTTCTAACATGGTGATTAATTTTATTACTACTTGTGGTTGATGAGCCAGATTGTCTTACAAATGTGTACGCTTCTCATATGTTTGAGGCAAGAAGTTTCACAATGCTTCTGCACATTGCCTCTACTTGGATAACGGTAGCACTGCTGCTGACCACTTTCCCTGCCTCTGTCTCCCAAGTTGTGAAATTGCCTTCTTTCGTATTTGTGCAGTGTGTATGAGACCAGATTTGTAATAAGTTGGCTGAACTTGCATTCTACGTAAACTGACTTCCTTAAGTGCTTTCCTATGTACACATATATTTCAATCATGGAGGGAAGATTAGCTCACTTGTCTCTAATATGAGCCCAGGTCTTCAAGTTGGTGGTTTTTAAGCTTCTTCTTTTCCTTTCTAAGTCTTATATTCTTATCTGCCTCCTAGAAAAATTACACTGATATCTACTGACTTGCCAGCGTCTCTTGATTTGACTATATGATCACTTCTAGCACCCACTCCCTTTTAACACTTTCCCTACCACGAGCCACATTTTGCGACTCGCGGACCTGGCCTTGCTGGACAGAGAGCCTCAAAATACGGCTCCAGTGGCTCGCTATCAATTCCAATCCAGTAATGACAAGACACGAAATTCTTGGCCGATCCTTGTTTTCAAAATAATAGAATAGACTTCCTGTTAGCAGATACGAAAGAAATTATAGCACTGAGAGACGATTTTTAGTTATTTCAGCGCTTTTTTTGTCCCTTTCGAAACGTAAATATGAGAAGAAAAGCGCTCTCATATTTTCACTTCTATATTAGGTACACATACATAACTTTCAGCATTTCTTTGCATTACTTGAGGCAACCTACCTAGGAAGTTTGAATGATGCTGTTGTTGTACTTTTTTTTAGATATGACCTTTCAAAGCTGGAAAGATTGTGATTTAATATGACACCTTCGATATTGCATAATCACTTTTAGAAACCCCAAAGTAATATAATTGGAATAAATCTACAATATTGTATCGCCGTCTGATAGATTTATTTTTTAACCTTCAGATTGATGGGCCATAAGATCTGGTTTGTGTGTATTTAGTTGGATGTTTTGACATTTTCCTGTGGTGGGGTAGGGGCGTAAAAATAGGTCAGGGAAAAGCCCTGGGCCAGTGGTGGATTTTGGCTTGGTAGGAAAAGAGGTAAATTAGCCTCAAGCCAGTCTCAAGCCTGAGAACAGACCTGGTTTAGACCTCTGAAGGGAATGGTTTGCTTTCGTCATTTTGGTCAGTCCTGCCTAAGACAGCCACCTGTTTTATAAGGCCACTTTTCTCTATGACAGTGGGTGGCCGTTTTACACAGGTTCGACTGTACTTAGTAAAATGAGACTTAAATGTGTTTTTAGACAAGATTTAAATGCGGCCCAACTTATTCTGTGAACAAATGCACAGCATGGGAATGGGCAATGAATTGTTCTTATAGTCATGTTTTTTGTTGCCAATTTGAGAATCTGTTGCAATTATCTTTGAAATTTATAAGTTAAAGTTCTTTGGGTTTTGCTCTTGACTGGAAAGTTTAGGATTTTTAGAAAATATTTATGGACATTCTGAATGGGCGTTGACACTTGTGCATTAAATGTCTGTGCCTCTTGAAAGATACAGGGCAAATGTACATTCCTAAGGCCTCATGGTTGTCTGCATGTTTCGTGTGTGTATGTGAATTTCTGACCCAGGAAAGTTGTCAGCGTTGAGAACAGGTTTAATAAAATCTTACATATAGATCAGACAAGTCCGTGAGAGATGTAAACGCTTAACCTCATATCGGTGGCTTATGTCATCCCAGATTTTGTTATTACAAATACATTAAGCAGTATTAAGCCTTTGGTTGAAATTGACTCAGGAAGAAATGCTTTGCATGTATTTATGCACTTGGTGAATGAGAGGTGTTAAGATCAAGCTGTGAAATTGTGAAAATATGCTGCTAGTACAGATGAAGTGAAAATCTATGGCTTGCCTACAAATTTTCCCTACTTGACAAATGACATGCTGATTCTTTGATGGAAAGGAATACTGAAATCAGAACAAAAATGTCTCTTTTCAGGCATTTCTTCAGGAGTTGCTGAGTTATTTTTCCAGCCCAATATCCCACAGAGATAAAAATTTTCAAGTGTACTTTTCATGTTTACGGAGTAGTCAAAGGTTTTTCTTTGCGCTAGGGGGAATCAAACTCATTGTTAGAGGAGGAAATAAAGCACATTGGTTATTCTATATTTTCTTTCTTCCGTGCAGTAAAAATCTTTTGACTACTCTGCATGCCCATTTTTGTATATTGCACTCATGCTTGCATTCAATGCCAAAATTTGTCAATAGGTCGTGGAAAATCTTTTACAGGTTTTACTCAGAGGGCAACTCTTGACCCCGAGTTGAACGAGATTCACGTCTTCTCTGTGAGTGGCTTTCTGTTTTGTTTTTTTGTTTTGTTTTTGTTGCATGAAAAGTTATAGTTTTTTAGATTTCTCGGGCTAATCGTATTTTTGTTTATGCATACCTGGAAGTGTCAGGAGCTATGATCGTGGTGCAAAAAGATCCACTGAAGAGTACAAATATTGTAGAAGCAATTCTTGCAGAGTTGGACAGCATTTTTAAGAGTGTGAAAGGGGTGCTGCTTTTCATAAATTTGCAGGAATATCAGAAAAGTATGGTGGTTTTGTTATGATTCACAGCTAATGTTCACCAATAGATATGTGATGACGACATATTTTGTGATTACAGTTGCTTACTATTGGATTCTCTACCAGATCCAGACGAAAATAGAATGTCACAGACATAGTATATTATGTCCAGACCTGATCCAAATTACTGAGATTTAAGATGTGAGAAATGTTTGTCTAGGGTTTTATTTTCTGTCTTTTCATTGATGAGCAAGCACTGATTTTTCTACTTAGTATCTATCCTATTAATAGTCCTCAATTCTGTTTTCATTGTCCTGCTGTTGATTGTCTTGTTGCTAGTCCAGATTTCTCTTCTTTTTCTTAGATGTTCTTAGTTTTGTGTTGATCCAGATTTTTCTCTCACCTCTGCAGGGTCTGAGTCGAGAAAAAGACAAAAGAGACAATATGAATTCATTTTGGGTCTACGACATACACAAAAATAAGTGGTGAGTCATCTCCTTCTGAACTTGCTTACATTTGAAAAGATCACCGAATAGGATCAAAAGCTTATAGATAATAAGTACATCCAAATTCTACTAAAAACTGTATCAAAGCATTTAAATTCCTCTTGGGTGGGGGTTAGTGGGTATCTGTGAATTTTCCATAGACATTTCACACTTGCGGTCCAAGGGTAGGTGGGATTGTGCACCTAGTTTCTCTACGGAAGAAGAATAACACGTAAGTTTAGTGTGCTATGGTTCCTTGACAATAAAAGAGGAGCATACCTGGGTAAAAGAAAGACTATAATAACATCATATGGCTACCTGAAAGGGAAATGAGTTTCCGTGATACTGAATTGCTCAGTATTTTTAAAAGATCTCCAAGCCTAGGAGCATTGGAGAAAAGGAGAAAGAAAAGTACCCTAACATATTTTTTCCTCCTATACCCCTAGAATTTGGAATTCCTCCGAAAAGAAATGTGTATTATGTTGTGAGAAAGAGAGAGTTCAAGAAAAGTCTAAAGACACATTTTTTCAACACAATTCTCTGCCAGTGAATTTTGTTTGTGAGATTATGTGTGGTTCTAGGTGTTGCATGTGTGTGTGTGTGTGTGTGTGTGTGTGTGTGTGTGTGTGTGTGTGTGTGTTGTTAAATGGTCTCTTAATGTGCATTTTCTATTAGATCAGTTGAGTCATAATATTGTATTTTAACTCTTTCTCTGAGGGTGGTAAACCCACCATGCTGTGGCCCTGTTTTGGTACAAACTTTAAAAATGACATATACCTCTCTAAATTGGTCACTAAATCAAAAGAAGTGAACCTATTTTGATAGTTCTTCACGTAATGAATGAACTCCCCCTAAAAGAGACCTGTTTTCTGCAATCGCGGAAAAGTAATTTGATGTCAAAATCTTCGTAAAAGAATATTGCCTAGCTCACTGGCACTGCGGTTCCCACCCCTTGCTGTTGGGAGTGGCTTGCCGTAAGTAAGGAGTTATAGTGTTCAGAGCCCTCTAAAGAATAAGGGCTATATTAATTCCCATGATTATTATCATTATTAATTATTAAGCACCAGACACACATTCTCCACCATGCCATTGTGAATTAAAATTTTCTTTGTACATCTGTGAACAGATAGCTTTTTTTTTTTAGTTACTTTCCCTGCAGGTGAAGCAAATTTTCAAACAAATAAACAGACTTATATAGATGTCACTCTGAATCTCTGTACATGGCGCGGTTTTTGATCTGGCAAGAGTGCAGCTGTGTTTTGTGTCGGTCTGTGATTTTCTTGGTTGTTTCTAAATTCCCGACAGATATTGTGTAGATATTGTGTGTAACAGTGAGTGTTGGGTTGTGAAGAGTGCTTGTTTGCAACTGGTGTGTTTGTCCGGTCTGTGAACAACGAGTGTTTGTCGAATTTCCCTTCTGCTATCTGTGAAGTGAAGAGCAAAACAGTCCGACATATTTATTTTGTGAGTAGCCCACAGTTTGTTCCGAAAGCATGGAAAATCACGAGTCAAGGGAAATAAGCTTGGAGATCCTAGAGGAGCTTAAAGCCTTTAGAAAGTACAGTGAGAACAACTTTTCTGAAATTAAAAATGAAATTAAGAACTTTAGAGCAAAGTTGGAGCGCTTCGAGATCGAAATAACTTCAATAAAAAATTCAGTCTGTGAAATTAAGGAACAGCAGCACGTGCAATGTCTTGACATTGAAGAAGTTGACTCGAAATGTGCTGCACTGCATGATAATGTTATTAGATTGGAAGGGGAGATGGAAAAGGCAGAAAGGTACAGTAGGAGGGAAAATTTAATGTTCTATGGTGTGCCGGAGGATTTGAGGGAGGAGCCGCAAACAGCAAGAAGAAAGGTAGTAGAAATACTTGGAAAAGTGACAGAGAAAAGCTGGGAAGATCGTGATTTCACACGGGTACATAGAGTGGGGCCCAAGAGGCAGAAGGACCGCCCCAGGCCCATTATTGCAAGATTCCAATATGCGGAGGACAAATTCCTTGTTTTGGGTGCAAGAGAGTCGCCGGTGATCTTACACCGCGGCAAAGAGAAGAACTTAGAGACCTGAGAGCAAAGGGGAAACGTGGTTTTTTTTAAAATGGAAGACGTCACCCATACACAAACACAACACGGCCAGCAGTCACCACCACAGGACAACAGCCAACCGCGCCGACCCGAGCCCCGTGGGCAACGACAGCAACAGAGGGTCACCCGCAGTCAGTCGGGGAGCGGTGGTGAGGCAACGGGGGGCAGGGACGGTGGTGTGACCACAAGGAGACAGCAGGGTCAGTCTTTGGCTTCAACAACAGCAAAAGAATAGGAACACGGCCGGCCCAGACTTGCAACAACAATAAATAACACCCAAGCAATGTTTTTAAAAATTATGTGTTGGAATGTTCATGGCATATCACAAAAATTGTTTAACCTTGATTTTGTCCACTTTTGTTCGTCGTATGACATTTTTGCTTGCTCTGAGGTCTACTCATGTAGTGAAGAAAAATTGCTCCTCGCTTTTCCCCAGTACAATATTTACTCTGCAAAACGTGAGCACGGGTTAGGTGGGGGTGTTGTTGTTTTTGTTCGTCGGTCGTTAGGGACCCAAGTCACAAAGCTAGAAATTTCTATGAAAGAATGTGTTTGTTTACTGTTGAAGGAGACCTGTTTACAAACAGATCGTAAAGTGGTCCTATGCTTCCCCTACCTCCCTCATGAATTTTCGCCTGTGTTTAATAATGAAACGGTTAAAGGTGTACAGTCTCTTGTGAAGACATATCATGATATTAGCGATAAGTTAGGAGAAGTTGAGTGGATAATCGGAGGGGATCTGAATGCAAGGACAGGACGTCTAGATGATAACTTTGTTGAAAATAACGTACATGAACTTTTGTCTGGTTTTGAAGAAACAGATGATGTTTTAGAAGAAATTTGTACCCAAAGAAAGTCACGGGACGCTTCCTTTACAAATAGTTATGGAAAGCAATTAGTTAGTTTCTGTAAAGAAAATTCATTGTACATTGCGAATGGCAGGACACCGGGAGATGAGGAAGGGAATGTCACATGCATTGCTAATAAGGGAAAAACAATTGTTGATTATGTTATTGTGAGCAAGGGAATGTTTGAGAAGATCTTTAGTTTTTCTGTCATGCCAAGGCCAGACTCAGATCATTTCCCACTGTCAGTGTTGTTTAAAATTTACATTGAACATGATGACACTAGTGAAAATGTTGAATGTGAGATTGAACTTAGCCGGTTGTTGCGGCTCACGTGGAAAGAAACAATGAGAAGCACTTATGTTGAAAAGCTTGAATCATTATTAAATGAAGAACATGATATGTTTTTGTCATATTTAAGTCTCAATGATGTCGACTCTGCCTGTAATGTTTTACAACAATGCATTAAAATATCAGCAGGAGACATGCAAACCAATAAGCAAAAGAATGGAAAGCATAGTAAGCTTCATCAACCATTGTGGTGGGATAACGAATGTGAAAGGCTAAAGAGAGTAAAATATCTTCACCTCCACGATTTCCACAGAACAAACAGCTCAAATGATCTGGATAAATTCCTTGAAGCAAAGAAAGACTTTAAGGAGATGTGTGCGTTAAAAAAGAAAATCTGTGATGCCCAGACAGTAGAAAGTTTAAAACAAGACCTTACTGATAAACGATCAAAATCATTTTGGCAAAAGGTTAATAAAATGATGCGTACTCATGGCTCATTTAATGCGGCTAAGGCCACACCAGAGCAATTTTATTGTCATTTTAAAGACTTGCTAAATCCCAGAAATAATGAATCATCAGAGGATTTATTACAGACACAAGTTGATCATGAAGTAGTTTTAACAAATGAGGATTTAGACACAAATGTATACCTGTATGATAATGAAATCACGAATTCTGAAGTTCAAAGTGTTCTGAGAAAACTGAAGAAAGGAAAGGCTAGCGGATGTGACGGGATTGGTCCTGAATTCTATTCTAATGCATGTCCTTCCTTGATAACATACATGTGTTTGTTGTTTAATGTCATTTTTAACACAGGGAAGTACCCAAAAATGTGGTGTCAAGCACTAATACATCCTATCCTCAAGAAAGGAAGTCCTTCAGAGGCAAACAACTACAGGGGCATTGCACTTCTAAATATATTATCCAAGATAATGTCTAGTATATTGCATTCACGACTAGCAGAATGGGCCGAGCAGACCAAAGTAATTCCCGAATCGCAAGCAGGGTTTCGTAAAGGTTATAGCACTATCGATCATATCTTCTCGCTTCAATCAATAGTCCAAAAGTACCTTTCAAAGAAACGTGGGCGCTTCTATGTACTTTTTGTTGATTTTTCCAAAGCATTTGACTGCGTCCCCCATGAAAAACTGTGGGCAGTCTTGAGGAAAAGAGGCTTGAGAGGGAAAATGTTAACATTACTACAAAGTATGTACTCGGAAGTTATGTGCTCTGTCCGTACTGGCCAGCATGAAATTACGGAATATTTTAATTGCTTGTCTGGTGTTCGTCAAGGATGTATTCTTAGCCCACTTTTGTTCAATATGTATGTTTCTGAATTTGAATTGATGTTGAAAAACAGTGATGTTAAAGGAGTTGAGCTATTAAGCAATGATGAACAAACCCGCAATTTAATGTACGCAGATGACATGTGCTTATTTTCAGATAATATTGTAGACATGCAAAGGAAGATCAATTGTTTGGAGAAGTATTGTAACCAGTGGGGACTGTCTGTAAATTTGGAAAAGACAAAGATGATTGTTTTTAGAAATGGAGGCGTGCTAAAGAGCTCTGAAAAATGGTTTTACAAAAAGAAAAGCATAAACGTAACCACGTACATAAGCTACCTAGGAGTGATATTTTCTTCCCGCTTGTTATGGTCAAAATGTATAGAAAACTTATGTTGTAAAGCAACAAGGCTCACGTCCAGAGTGAGATGTCTAAGTAAAAGATATGAGCACTTGAATGTCCAAACTTTGTTCAACATTTTTGACATCAAAATTAAGCCATTACTTTTGTACGGTTGTGAAGTATGGGGGGTGAAGAAGTATGATAAAATAGAGCAGGTGCACGTTAAATTCTGCAAGGCCGTCCTAAACATTGGTAGAACGTCTGCAAACATTTTGGCAATGGGGGAATGTGGACGTCATTATTTGTATGCCACTTATCATCTACGAGCAATAAATTATTGGTATAAATTACTGGTAGTGGATAATAATAGGTATGCTAAGAAATGCTATTTGCAAGCGTATGCACATGACCAAAATAATCGGTACAGCTGGGCCACTGACATGAGGAAACTTTTATGTACAATAGGGTTTGGATATGCGTGGTTTTTTCAAAATGTTGGTGATAAGAATATTTTCCTATCTCAAGTAAAGGAAAGACTTATAAATATTAGTCACCAGGACTGGCGTTCTAGGGTGTCTGGCGTTTATCCTGAGTACCTGGACTTCCACCCTACGTTAAGCCCTGCACCGTACCTCTCATTCACCATCTCTGCAAGAGGTAGAAGGATCCTTGCATTACTCAGAACTTTCAGTTTGTCGTTGAAAAATAATCTGTTCCGGTTGGGCATTGTCGACAGTAATCGTTGCCTCCAGTGTGATGAAAAGTATGTAGAAAATGAATTCCATGTATTGTTCAGATGTTCACGATATAATGAAATACGAGAGCAGCTTTTACCAGAGTGCGTCAGACTTCAGACTCCCGAAGAGCCAATGTCTAAGCTCAATGGCATATTAGTCTGTTCAGATGAAGTCCATTCTAAAAAGATAATCTCATTCCTAAATTATGTTGTTATACGGACACGTCTGTTCTAGGGAAAAGGTATTCACTCGCATATGTAACTCTGTATCTACTGTAATGGGTACTATTTTATATGTATATGTGTATGAAAAAGACAATGGTATTCACTTCTCAGAGTGAAACATGTCCCGATTTCTCTCGCTGCCTCATTCATAGCACTGTGTGGAAGTTCTATTTCTATTTGATCATATGAATGTATGTATGTATGTATGTATGTATGTATGTATGTATGTATGTATGTATGTATGTAAGTATGTGTGTGAACAGGAGTGTGTATGAGTGTAAGTGCGTGCGTCACGTGCGTGTGTGCGTGTGTGTGTGCGTGCGTGCGTGCGTGCGTGCATACGTGTATGTGGGCGTGCATGTCCAATTTATGTTAAACATCCAATGTGCTGCACCAATGTATGTAATTGCCGAACCATATGTTAAAATATGTGGATGTATGGGCCAAAGGCCTTTCAAATCAATAAATCATTTTGAATCTTTGAATCTGTACATGGCCTCATACTCTTGTTTTTCTGACAGGTCCTGCATCTACAAGAATGAGAACACAGGCCGGCAGTACTGGATGAAGATGCAGCATGTGGAGCCGGTGCCCAGGTTTGCCCATCAGCTCGTCTATGATCACGTCCGGAAGGTGAGCCCTGCTTCTGCCCTCCTTCTTGTGGCGTAAGTGGCCTAGTGGTTAGGCTCTCGGAATTGCAACTGTGAGGTCATTGGTTTGAATCCTGTCCCTCGGGAAAGGCACTTAACACAAATTTTCCTCACTTCACCCAGATGGAAATGGGTACACGACTATAGACAGTGAAAGGTCTTGTCAGTTTGACGATGTTTGAGTATATGAAATACGCAGCTTGCACTGTATGCTTCCCAGGAAGCTGAGAATATTTCTGAGTGTTCTCAGAGGGTCTGCTGGGGTAATAATAGTTGTAAAGGGCATAGAGCATGCTTTAGAGGGTGGATATGCGCGATATAAATGTAATTATTATGATCATTATTTAATGTACCTAATCTACATGATTAGATCGGGGCGGGTATTGGCACTGGTTGGTTCACACTGTATCAAATAGACCTCTGCTTCGCTGCACAAAATTTGACCACGAAATCCATTAGGCCATATTGCATTTCGCACGCTTACAAAATATCTGTTCTCTCAATAACCAGGTGAAGTGAATATTTGAACTTCAGCTCAATGAATAACTTTCGTTTCAATCCCACTTTAATAAATATCTTTATATATATAATATTTATAAATATTTATAATATTTATAAATTTTGACTTTTTAGCCTTTTGCTCTGACTCAAATGTAAATGTAAACTGGAAATATATTTAACTATTTTCATAAAGATGGATCAGGTGTAGGTTTTGTTTACTAGGTTTGCATCAAAGACCATACAACATGAACCTTGTTTTTGATTCTTGGTTTAACACTTTGCCGCCCCATCTCGCCGACTGGCGATGTTTACCACCCACTTTCTTTGGATTTTCCCCAAAATATGATGGCAAAGTGGTAAAGGAACAGGAATATTAGCCATTTTTTGCAGCCCATGGTAGGAATTGTATGAAGTCATGAAACATTTTCCCCATCTATACCTGTTTTTCGTGTAATTCTCAGGTCCATTATTTGTTTGGTGGAAATCCTGGCGTAGATTCACTTCCTCGAATGAGGTTGGATGATTTCTGGTCCTTGAAGGTAAGGAATTATTGTGTACAGGAAATACTGAGGTCTTTCATCTATTCATGTGTGGCAAATATTGTTATAGGTGGTATGGATATCTTATGCTTGCAAACCACAAATGCAGAGCTAGTGCTACTTTTCGGCATTCATTTTGAATACTGTTTTCTTTTCATAATAACATTTGTCAGCTTAAATCTTTTAATCTGTATTTGCAAGAAGGTAATTTTTTGATGGTTTTGAAAATTCATTGACGTGTCTAGTTTTACTTGATGAGTGTTGGTTGTTCATTTAAATTCAAAGCAGGAGGGGTTTTTTGTTTTCGAGGTGAGTTCAGCTGATGTATCCAATGAGGTTTGAGTAGAATAAATGTTGATAGATATCAACATTTAAAATAATTTAATTAAATCAACATTTAGAGTGATGTATGTATATATATATATATATATGTGTGTGTGTGTCATGACACGGTGGAATCAGGCACAGGTCAATTTCAGGGCATCTGGAGTTATCATTCCAAAGTGTGTTCATTTGTCTTGCTGTTGATAAAAAAATACCCATCTGTCTTGCTGTTGATAAAAAAAATACCCATCTGTCTTGAATAGATGTTGAGATATTGGCAAATACACTATTTTACTAATACACACACATACTCACACACACACACGCACCAACATGCACACATACGCAGGCTTACAGTCACATGCATAATGTAAATGAACAGTAATATAAACAATAATAATGTTAAGCTAGATACCTACTCAGTATTGAAGGAGATGGAAATCATCTGGTGTCAAAAGTAAAATTAGCGAGAAAATGACCACCAAAGTTTTGTGACTTCCGAAGCTTGAGTAGCCTTGAAAACTGCAAATTTACGTTATTTATGCCTTTGGTCAACATTTTTAAGTCACTTGCACACAAAAATGTGTTTTGAAATGGACATAAAAGGTGTTGAGCCAAAAGAAGAAAAAAAAAATTTAATTGCCCAAAGACCCGGAAAATGCCGTTTTTTAAAATTTCATTATTTTTATTAAGGCCTGATTTCACCACGATGCCTCACATGTGTATATGACTGTGACGGTGCTCATATGCTAAGGATGTTCTTTGTGTCAAGGAACTTGAATTATTTTATTTGCAGCTGTTGCGACCATCACCTGAGTATCTGCTAAGGAGGTGTAGGTTCCTTATCCGCAAGCATCAGTTCTTGGAAATGAGTGCACAGACGCCGCGTCAAGCCATGACCTACTTGCAGACAGAACTGGCGCAGGTTGTGGATCATCAAAACCCGGAGGAGACTAAAGAGGTGGGAAACGAAATCTATTTTTTGCTGTCATTAGTTTGGGAATGTCCAGGCCCAGTTCAAAGGATTAAACTGAAAGGAAAACATAATTTTGTTGACTGCTGATTTTGGGGGGGGGGGGGGATGTTCTATTTGCTTTGGTTGGCATACATCTTGAGTGATTTAGTTTATTCATGTCACAAAAGCGTACTGCTTTGGGTAAGGCACTAACACTTTCAAGCTCAAATCTCGGATAGGAGATACATTGCATGGTATATCGTGTACTGATGTTTTTGCACAGATTGCTGAAAACAAAATAATTTCACTGAAAGTTTGATTGGTTCAGGTGTAGGCCTGATGCAAGGATACTAGAACTAACAAAGGAACAGCAAACGATTGTAAACAAAGGCTCGAGAGGGCTGGGGGCAAATTTGAACCTCAAGGTGTCATAGACAATGGTCAATGGCTTGCTATGTTGTGTTGTGTGCCTCTCAAGCATTTATTCACAGCATGTTTCATTAGCCTTGCCCCCGATTTGAATGTGATAGTTGTGAGGTGATTATTATTGTGCCCTATTGCATAAATTCTCTTTCCAGGATACTATACTGTGCTGGTGTTGATTCGAATCAAGCAGAAGATTACGATCCATCAACAGTCAATACCATCATAGACAATGAATAATTGCATTTCAAGCCATGTTGTGTTGTGTGTGCTAAAGCGTAGTTTTTTTTAGCCTTATGCCCAATTTGAATGCAGTGATAGTTAATTATTGTGTTCTGGTACGTATTGTGATAACTTCATAGATTCTGATTCCACCAGTAGAGATTCTAGAAACCAGGAGAGGTTGGTGATCCTTGCTTTTTCTTCTCAATTTAACTCGCAAGTGGTGTTGACAGAAACTGCTTCCCTTACTCTACAATTTTGCCATTTATTAATGCTCTTATTTTATTTTATTTTATTTTAGATAGGGGGCTACAGTTTTTAACGTTACAACTTTAAATGAAGAGATGATTTGTACCCATTTTGTTATGATTCTAGGCTAGATGTAGATCTGATCACAAGCTTGTTCAGTGTGTGACCTCCTCACGTCTTACTCTACTAGATCAGGTTCCTAGATAGCTAGTACTTTGTACTTTTATTTTTGGTGGATCTTGACCTTTTTTAGCTTTGACAGTCCAACAACTGACCATGCGCCAATTAAGGACCGCATTTCATGTTAAAAAATATCGTCTAGTGAGTGATTTAAATCTCTTATCGTCAACAAATCATAAAATAAAATTGTATCAAGCAAGAGCAGCATAGACTAGATGCCTGTGTGACTGCGACGTGTGTTCACTAGCCTGTAAAACTACCTGCAAGTTCACTGAAGAGGAAGAAAAGCAAGGGTCCTTAAGAGTAGAGAGCCAAAATTGAGATATATAAATATTTGTTTGGGGGTTTTTTTCACTTTGGTAGTTGCTGTAACTGTTGCTATAAAAATATTGATTTGTTTCTACAAAAACTATTTTGACCTGAACTAACTTGGGATTTAGATTCTTTGTTGCTAACTCTGCTTTGTTGTTTTAGTTCAGGTCTCAATGAACTCAATTACCCCCTGGGGTGGTGCTACCGACTGAAGTGCCTTTAGGCCATTCCCAAAGGGGGGACATTAACATCTCGAGTTCTTATGCACAGTAGAATTGTTTTTGTAAATGGGCTGATTCATCAATGTCATGCTTATAACTATGCCTGAACTACAACAGGGAACTGCTGCCTTTTCTTTCCTAATCCTTACTATCGTCAGTTTCCATCTACTTCTTTTGTATGTTTGTCACACTCTTGTGACCTGCTATGTCAGGGGTGCCTAGATAGTGAAGCAGACTTTGTGTTGTTGAAGCTAGAGAGATGAGCAGAGTGAATCTGATTCCCTGTAAGGACTTTTCTGTTGACATTCACCCCTTGGCGCACATATGACCTTATGCAGTTGCAAGCGCTGTAAAACCTCTACTAAAACAAATCAATGAACTCATTGCACTCAGACCTTTCTGTTTCCATTTGAATTTGATTGGAGTGCTTGTGCTGCTCTAATTAGTAGCTCATCAATGTGATTGCCTTTAACTAATTTAAATTTGTCACTTCAACAAGCTCAATTTAAGTCTTCGGGTTAATGAGAAAAAAAAAAACATACGCACACACACTTTAAAAAAAACAAAACAACAATTTTTGAGTAGTTTTATTTCCTTTTTTTTTTTGAGAGAGAGAGAGAGAGTAGGCGCTTCAGTGAAATTTTAAAACTTCTCCAAGGGCACTGAAATTGTGGATATAGGAAAGAGCTTGGCTTTCTGTTTTCAGAGCTTTTAACATAATTTTTGTGCTATCTTTGTTAGTTCAGAAGCAGCGACCATTTTTGTGCATCAATTTTCGCCCTGATTTAACCAAATTTTTGCACTGCATTTTGTGCCACCAAACTTCCAAATCTTGTTTCAAAACGTCATAAAATCCTTAATAATAGTTGTATCGTAACCATTGAGGTATCATTTTGTTTGTTTTACGTAAAATTAATAAATAAACGATAAAAGTTAAGTACATTGAGAGTACAGTTTTATTTAGTGTTTAATTACGTCATAAGCGTGACCTCGGGAGCCCGATGTCTATTATCCAAAACAGAAACTGGCACATTTTCCATGGTCCGATTTTCAAAAGAAAAACATCACTGATTATGTTTTAAAGAGATTTTTAACATGCTATTGGGAGGGGGGGGGGGAGGAATGATTAAAATTGAAAGCTGTTTCGTTGGTACATTATGCATAACTCAAGTAGGGGGTTGGTGGGTGCTCTGGGGTGTGGTTTGTTCCTTTTTTCCCTATCAACAATATACCGTCCTTATCTGTCCTCCTTCTTTTTTCTGTTTATGTTACTCTCTTGTAATTCTTCTAATCAATCCTAGGCACTTATATTACCTTATTGTGTTGCAAGTGCCGTGAAACCCATACTACAACTAAACTTAAAAAGCTTAACACAGATTTGAAAAATGTGTGATGAGTATGGCAATGGTAGGATGGCGGTGGTGGAGATAAGAGAAATAAGATGACAAGAAAGATCTAGAGAGAGAATGTATGACTAAGTGGAATGGAGAAGAAAAGAGAGGTACGGTTATGAAAAGAGGTAGGGATTAGGAACACACAGAAACTCTCTCCATTTATTCTTTGCTCAGCTGCTACAACCCCCCCCCCCCCCTTTCTGAAAAAAAAAACCCCATTACAGTGAAATCCTGTTATATCGAGAGGGATGGGACCGGTACGAAATGTCCGTTGTAGCAGGATTCTCGTTGTAAGGGATCCAGTAATAAATTCAATGGAAATAATAAAGCAGGCCTAATCTATGAGTCTGGTGTTCTGTTTATTTCTTTTTGTTATCTCCTCTGATGATGGTTTTGCGACCCCCCGGGGCAGTGCCACTGACTGTAGTGTCTTTGCTCTGGGTCCATATCGCCTCGTTCTTTTGAAAGAATTTGGCTTTCCACGATTTTTCCAAAGATTGAAAAGAGGATCTTCATGGATGGTGCAGACGGAGCGAACTCTCGATATGTGCTGTGAAATCGAGGACATAAGAAGAGGATGTGACTGGATGAGGCCGGAGAAAGACATGAGCAACTTCATGAAGGTGATAGCTACGCTAGGTCGAGAGTGTCGCGAGTGGCCAGCAAGTGCAACTAATGCGGAAATTGTGGCCAACTTGAGGAAAATTCAGTGATGGGTGATGTTGTCGTCTTCACCGACGGATCAGTGAGCCGTGGCTAGAAATCTGTGTGGGCGTTCAGTGCTCGAGTTGACGGGAAGATAATTAAAGAACAGTCTGGAGCCTATGAGTGCACTACGTCGAGCATGGCAATGGAGGTCAAGGCAATAACAGAGGCGCTGGAATGGATCAGTATGGAAGCGTATAAACATGCCCTGTTTGTCACAGATTCGATGAGCACCCTAGAAAAAATCTGGAGTGGGTGGCTCTACAGTGACTGGAGAGCTTCCATTGCAAATAGCCACCTCCTAAGAATTACATTGGTGTTCTGCCCTGGTCACGCCGGGTGCACGGAAATAAGTGTGCTGATGAACTTGCCGGCAAAGCAGCACCAATGGCTGAATCATGCTCGACCCACCAATGGTGATCGCCAGATGCAAGGAGAGCCCTTCACAACCAAGAGGAGACAGACTCCCACACACTCAGCACAATAAAAGAAAAGTGTGTGCAGGGCACAGCGAAAAAAAATTTGCTCCGAGGAGTGGTCAGGCGTGTCTCAAACCAGCTCCTCATGGAGACAATTAGCAGGAAGACCCTGAGGTGGACGCTGGAAAGGAGAGATGAGCAGCTATGGACATGTGCCGCCTGCTATGATTCTAGCTCTGGATCCAAGTAAATCTTGGGAGATTACATGTAGTGTAGAGAGACAGAGAGACATGAACTGCTCTCCTTCTACCTGTTTCTCACTTCGTCAGTGAACCAGCCCTCTCGCTTTGAGATTATGGACTTGGACTGATTAAATATAATTCACTTCTGTTATAAATTTTGAAATATAGTATAATGTGGGAGAGAGGGGCCGATGTAAATCTTGTGGGCTTTCAAGTACCTCTAGGTTTTGACTGTTTTCTTTGCTTGTTGGCCTGAACTTTTTAAAGGTTTTAATTTTATCTTTCACAGTTCATTCTCAAACTCAAATGTAGCAGAATTTGAATATTCATGAAGAACTTGATAATCGGCAATTGACATAAGAGTTTTATATGTGTATGTAATATGCATGTGATTTTATTCCTCAGTTTCAATTACTGGCCTCCTCGTTGTTCCCGTGCAGCGCTGTAGACGATGATGAGTTCACAGAGAGTATGGAGGAAGCCGTTACTGCTGTTCCTAGCTTTGGCAACCCGCATTTCGCTCAGAGGACACAACTTTTCGATGCATTAGTGGAATTTTTCCCGGACTCGATGACACAACCAAAAGAAAATCTTGTGGATCTCATTCCCCTCTACTGACCACAGAAATAGGTAATGGGGCAGAAGTGCAACGGCAGCAGTTATGTTACCGAGAAAGGCTCATCACCTGAACTTCACCACCATGCTGGTTATTATTTGTCATAAAGATGCTTTTTGCAAAGTATTTTGGCTTGCAGAATGCTGTCCAAATAACAGTGATTCATTTCATGCTTTTATATAGCTTACACTCACTGAGAACTGTTTACTTGTTTGTTCCCCCTGCAAAAGGGGCCTGGCAAGCCATTTGAATGAACCTATTGTACCTTCCGCTCAATTGCCATTTCCATGTCCTTGGTGATGTGCATAAAATGAAGATAGTTCCCTTATGCCCTGAGAAGAATAGGGGAGGAGATGGCTGTCAGATCAGCCTCTCAACCTGACTGGATTGACACAGCTCTACGATTTCTTAGTCCGTCAAGGCATTTCTAGAATTTCACTTTGTTGTCGTAGGTTTTTAATCCCAGTAGAATAAATGAACATGCTTTGGGAGGGGAGTCCTCCTTTTTTTTTTGGTACCTCTTTCTGTTAATCTACAGTGGAAACCTGATATAACAGGGATGGTGGGAGTAGAGAAAATGTCCTGTTATATCCGATCCCTGTTAAATCAGAAATGCAAGGAAAGTAAGCATTTGTGGACTAATCCAGCTGTAGTTATTCATGGGTAGTTTCCTTTGCCACAAGTACCCACGAACAGGGGTTTTGGCACCAACTTTCTCCTTGCCTCCTTAAACCACATCAGAAGAGCTTGGTCCACAGCATCTGCATCGGATAGTCTCATCTTCTTTCGATCCAGAGCAAACTTTCCATTTGAGTATGCTGCCACTATCTCCTCTCTATCCTTGATAATGGTGTGAATCGACCCTAGTGGAATGTCGAACTGACGATAAATCTCTGCCAGGTGAGCTTGCTTTTTGTCAACAGCCCGGATTATTTCGTATTTTTTGTCAATTGAAAGGCATTTTCTCGTGCCCTTGACATCGTTGGTGACACATTACGCGTGTGTGTTGCTAGGTTTCGGGCTAGATCGAGGTCTGCAGCACACCGCAGCCCTCTCTCGCTTCACACGCTGCGTGTGCTTGCAGTGGCATGGCTTGCGTGGGCTTGCTCCATCTTTGCGTTACTCTCTCTCTCTCTCTCTCTCTCTCTCTCTCTCTCTCTCTCTCTCTCTCTCTCTCTCTCTCTCTCTCTTAGTTTTTACACATTGTAACGAGCCTTTGTCCCTGCTATAACCGGTTGGGCTGCGATGAGGCCCTGTTATTCCCGATAACTTTTAATAGAGACAAAGAGTAGGAAAAAACGGGGATTTTAAAAATCCCTGTTATTACCGGATCCCTGTTATTACCGGGCCTGTTATATATGGTTTCCACTGTAGTTGGAAAGTTGGCATGCATTCTGGTGTTGTTTGCTTTTTCTTTCCTGTCACACATCTATTGTCATTATCTCTCCTCTTCCTTCATTTGTGTTTGTTACTCTCTTGTAGCACCTCTAATCTTCGGCACTTATATGACGTAATCGTGTTGCAAGTGCCATGATAAAAGTCTTACTCTTATGAAAACTTATACAATTAATCTCTTCCCTGCTGGGATTTTTTGGTTTTGTATTTTTTTTAGTTGCTGGGAATTTTCATCACTTTGTTAACCCAGTAGCTTCTGGATTACGATCAACAACAGCAACATGGGGACAAAACAGAATGAGGAATTAGCTGACCCTCTGACTTTGTGACGTGCATGCACTTCACTCAAACATTCAATATATGGGTGAAGTTGGTAACGGAATACTTTTTTCATATTGTTTTCGCGGTTGACTTGAACATCCTTGTTGTGATGATGAGAGAGGGAATTTTCAGTACTTCAACTCAGGGAGATGTATCATATGATCCTCCTAGTCAGAGGTTACTGAAGACTTATGGTTATCCGCTTACGGTAGTAACCCTTGACCCCCCCCCCCCAGCTCATCTTGACTGTATTCAAAGGCTAATTCTCTAACTATGAACAGTAAACTTGGTTGTAACTTCACTCCCTTTACTTCTGGCTGTTCCCCTAAGATCACATGGTACTTTCCCCCAAATACTGAACGCTGCTCTTGGATTTCTTAACCTTCAGCAAAATAATATTGTGGGGAAAGAATCTAATAATGTATACATGTTATATATATATATATACGGACACTGTTGGACACTGACTTCGAAACTAAGTTTCGTCATGTGCCTGTGGTGTGTATGCTGCTTGCTGCTTATTTAATATTTGCCCTTGTTTCATCTATGTCTTTCTCAAACAAAAAGAGTTTGTTTGTTGTTTTTTTTTGTCGGGTTTTTGTAAGGTGTGGGGGGGGGGGGGGGTGTTAGGTGTTGTTTTGTTTTTTGTTTTGTTTGTTGGGTTGGGGAGGGGGGGGGATTGTATGTTGCTTTCAGCTTTACACTTTACATCTTGTTTTTTTAGAAATGTTTTCTAGATTGTTATTAAATTTATTCATTCCTCCTGTGGTTTTCTATTTTCTTGCTATGTTCATTGTTTTGTTTATCACAATTTCATGATTTGTACTTTACCGTTTTGGGATCAACTTTTGTTCTTTTAACTCTACTGATGGTCAAATTAGTACACTTTACACAGAATCTTCACCTGATTGGACTGTTATTAATCTCAGATCTTGACTGATATTTTATTATAAACTCGTTATTCATTCTTAGGACTTATTTATTATCTCGGATTTTTAATTAGTCCCAGGATTCCTGTCTCCTGAGTAGAATTCACTGGGACTTGTATTACAGACTTGAACATAAGTTAAGGACCACTTGCAAACCCACTGAGTGGTCTTGGGTCGACCTACACGTTGGTGTTCTTGGACTGATCCAGTGGCTTGATGGCGCTGCCTCAGGCGGACCATAACTGAGTGTGACACTGCAAGCCTTCTGACAACTTCTCGGGCCCCAACTCCATCCTGCAGCCATGCCATAGCCCTGGAACCATCAAAGTCTCTCAGCTTTCGTCTTGGTGGCATGTTGATGCGATACTGGATTTTGCGCAAACGGCGGCTTATATTGCCAACAAAGTGAGCACAGTTCGAGACTGTACGTCCGGTTGTTTCGCACACAATAAAAAACAGCAAATTTGGCTAAAATTCCCTGAGGATTTGCATGCTGCACTTTTTGTTTTTGCCTCTGTTGGAAGCTTTGCAGTACGCATTTTGAAACATTCCTTGCTGTCTTTTTTTCAGATTTGTAAAAAATCAGGGCTGTCTGTCAAGGTGGTGTTTAACCTGTCCACGACGTTTTATGCCAGAAAAATTTTGAAATTATGCAAACTGAGCCCAAAAATGTGAAATTATGCGATTCTGTTAATTTTAACAAAGAATGATAAAGGAAAATAAAGTCAGAAATTATGAAAAAAATGATCAAATTTTGCGAAATTATGTGGGGTGCATAAAACCACGGGGACGGCTTAACTTATGTTGAAGTCTGTATTAAAGTTTTTATTTGATAAAAGTCATTTAATTAACTTTCATCATCAATGTCATCCCTTCACTGATTAGAGAATCTTCAGCCTGAATAATTTTTACTCATATTACTACTCTGCTGAAACAAGCTGATTTTATCGTTCTTTGTCCAAGTTACAAGACCTCGGAGCTGGTAATCTCATTCAGATATTTTTCGACCAGTAAGTTCAAGAAGATACAGCCCAGTAAATTATGCTCAGGTAGTAATGATGGGTCTTCATGAGTTTCGTAGGCCTTTTAATAGATATCTTGATCACTTCTTGAAGATGCTAAATAATAGTTTGACCAAACTTGGTTGTGAAAATATTGGTAAAATGGTGATCTCCAAGAACTTTAAAGTTGTCGCAAGTGACAGGTAATTTTGTGTCTTCTTTGTTTCTAACATCAATCATGGTGTAGTGTAAGGGAATGAAGTATCTTAAGACTTTGAATCTCCACAAATTTGTTTGAATGTGCAGCGTTATTGAAAATAACATGCATGAATTTTAAAAAACGATCATTTTTATTCTTGCCAGAAATTTGGACTGTGTACTGTTTCCTTCAGATGATTCAATATGTTGAGGAAATGTGTGTGTGTATTGTAACGAAAGATGTGTGTCTAGTAATAATTACAGCAGTGTCTTTTCTAGTCTGCCCATGTTGACTAAATTTGTACATGTACTATTTTTTCTTCATTTCCTCTTGGCGTAGGAAAGGTTGTACTTTTACTTTTACTAGAATGTTTTGAATTTGAACGGTTTAATTGACTCAGATGAGACAGTTGAAAACTCCAGGTCTAGAAATGTAAAATGGCATAGTTTCTAGTGTGAGCTTCCGAAATTTATTTCCCCTTCCCTTTTCCCACCAATCATGTTGATATTTTGACTGGATAGTAATAGTAGATACATGTGTTATCCTCTTCTTTGTGAGCATTAGATTCAGAGAGATTCTTCTACAACATGCAGAAGCTGGACTTCAGGCGTGGAAGTTGTTTGTCTTTGTGCTTGCAGAAAACATGCTCTTGGGGTTTTCAAGTTTCTTGCATTTATGGACTGGGGTTTTTTTTTTGTGATTTGTTGTGCAGTGTTAGTAGTTACTCCTTATTGGCACTGTGTTGCATTTATGGACTGGTTTTTTTTTGTGATTTGTCGTGCAGTTTTACTCCTTATTGGTGCTGCGTTTAACAGCTTTGTTTCGCTATAGGAACAATAACGGTAAATGCCATTTAGCTGCTCACAGCTTCTTTTTCCACTTCATAAGTGTCATTTTTTTTCTTGTTCACAAATGAGTAACTTTTTTGCAAGTGCCAGAATGTTTTTCTTATGACTTTCAGTAACTGGCTGTCCTGTTTGTCTTATTCTGATTGGAAAATTCAGTTTTCTTCACGGATCCTCTCCCTCTAACTCTAATGTAACATCATGCTGTTGCTATTCTTTGTATATCCATAATTTGAAGTGGTCACGACAAAACTACAATGTTACTTTACAATAATAACATATATTTTTGTTTGATGAGTGCTGGTAATATGAATGAGAAGCATGAAAGAGCTCTCATCTTTGCAATTTCAAAAGTGGAAGATATCATAATGGTATCTGCTAAGCTTTTGTTTCAATCTTAGGGATTCATGTTCCGTTGTCATCAAGTCAAATCTGTTACGTGTGCAGTGTGCTTGTACAGTTAAGTTGTGAACGAACCAGTCGCATTTACTTTTACCCTTTCATTCTCACTCGATAGTCATGTTTATATTGTCAGGACTGTGCCCTCCTTAGGACATTGGTTTTACAGCAAAGTATATACCACTTTGTACTGGTCAGTGGATTTTTACATGTATGAAATGTTAATCGTGTTTGGCTCAATGATCCATGATTTTAAAGAAATTACCCCTGCTCTCTGTGAGAAAAGGAAAGAAAGCCAAAAAGTAAAAGTCCAACATCTGTAGTGCAGAAAACTGTTTACATCATGTATAAAGGATGCACTGGACTTTTTCAGTTTGTTCATGCATGAGGCAGACAACAGTTCAGTTATGAGTGAGAGAAAAGGGTGTGCCTGGTTGTAAATCAGGAGAGAGTATTGCTTGAAATATGATCACTGCAATTGTAAAATGCTTATTGTTATTTGCTTTGTGAATATTGATATGTATATGTTGTTTAAAGTTAAAGTGAAGGAAGTTTCAGAGAAAGATGTCTGTAAGTATGTAGGCATTATGTGACAACACACTAGTATAAGCCAATGTGCTCTCTTAGTGTTAGTCAAAGCCGTAGGCCTACTCTTTTCCCAATGCAAAAAAAGATATTACGTAAATGTGTCTTGTTCTTGCTTCTGCTTGTCCTACATTTTGTTTCCTACAATTGTAGTCAGGTCAGAGGTGATAAAAAGCTTACTTTATGAATACAGTGATACATGTGAAGTTCTCAAATAAGCATAGCTGGAAATGGGTTCTTTGTTGTTTTCTTTTTATTAACGTGGGCTACTTTGGAACTTGAATCAAACTGTTAGTGTATGATTTGGCACATTTTTCAGCTGAAAGAATGTTCACCAGAAAGGAAACATGATGCAGAGCTAAATTTTTTGACTGACCCATAGCCATTAGTAGGACTGAGTGTCACCTGGACCAAAAAATAGAACAGACAACAGGTGTGGGATAGGTTGGCTGATGTAAGCTACTGTAACTTCTGGAAGAGACTGGTGCCAAAGAAGGGTGAACAAGTATTCTAAACATGAAGCTGCAGCGAGCACCTAGCACATCTCTGTGATGGGCCCAAATATTGATGACGTATTTTAGCCATCTATTTTTAATCGTCTTCCGGGGCTTCCCTCGCCAGTTGACGAGATCTCACCGTGGCGGAGCGGTTTTGCCGCTCCATCTAGGTTTCATCGCCAACTGTCTGGGCTGTGTGTGCGTGCAGGCTGGTGTGTGTGTGTGTGTGTGTATGCTTGTGTTTGTGCGTACGCTTGTGTGTGTGCGTACGCGTATATGTGTGTGTGTATGCGCGCACGCAGTTGTGAGTGTGTGTGTGTGTGTACAAGTTTGAGAAGGTAAATTTATTGAACGAGAATGGCTGAGGTTGTTTATAAAAGGTAACATATATATATTAATACCAAAAAAAAATAGCAAACAAACACGGCGAGATCTAGAATCTAGTCAACAGTAAAAGTTACTGGCGAGGGAAACCCAAGAGTCTTGGGGGAAACCCCGGAAGACGACAAAAATAGATGGCAGAAATACGTCATCTATATTTGGGCCAATCACAGAGATATGCTAGGTGCTCGCTGCAGCTTCATGTGTATTCTAACTTCATCATATATAGGTTTTTACAAAGTCACATGAACTGTAATTTTATGGGGAAAAGATTGCAAGGGAAATACCTTATCCAAAAAAAAAGGCAGGTCACATAGTGAATAGTGCAGACGTCATCTAGGGTCATGTGCCACCTAGCCAAGCTGAATGCTGAGCAACAAACTGCACAACCTAGAGTGGTCAGTGATACAGTGGAGTCTACTTATAACGAGTCCTGAAACAACGAGAAGTCTGTTATAAAGACACTATTCTAAAACCCTGTTTTTTTCCCTTCTTTACCTTTGTAAAAAAAATACTGCTATAGCGCATTCGGACAAACACGGGAGTCGGTTATAGCGGAATATTGCTGCTGCTTTGCACAGCGCACAGGCCAGTTATACATATAAACCTCGCCAGTTGAGAAACTTGTCGGTGATCTAGCGAAACCTAGGACTTACACCAACTCCTTGAACGAAACAAAGAATAGGAGAGCCCACATTTGCCAACAATGAAGGCCGGAGTGAATGAGTGGGGAGGGTGTGGTAAGTGCAGACAAGCAGAACGCATCGTGTGATGATAGGCCAGTGTAAGTCTAGATTATCTAGGCCTACCACTACAGTGACTACCCATGCCCTCACTTCTCCGAAGCGTGGACGGAGAGGTCACAATGCTGTGATGGATGGAGTGCTGTGTAGTAACGTGCGCAAGCAGACGAAACACACCTCGGGGTGCGGTGGGGTGGGGGACAACGCAGCGGGCGAGTTAGCCCAGAGCGCATTCTTTCTGATCGCCAACGCCGTGCTGTCAACATTGCTAGCGCTTGAGAAAGAAACCCGATTCGATTTTTGATCAAGACCTAACTAAAGGTCATGTAGAACAATGTCATCATCAGGAGAGATAACAAAAAGAAATAAACAGAACACCAAACTCCTAGATTAAGCCTACTTTATTATTTCCATTGAATTTATTACTGGATTCCTTATAATGAGAATCCTGGTATAACGGACATTTCGCACCGGTCCCCTCCCTCTCGTTATAACAGGATTCCACTGTAAAAGGAATGTGCACCTGAGCTGATGGACCTGACGGTTCATTTTGCGGAGTAGGCCTACATTGTGCATACCTGAAAGTGAAACTAATTTTCCTGCTGTCCATCCCACACAGCTTCTATGTCCATACTAAGACAAAGAGACATTTACTTTTATGGCAAGTGACTTAAACTTTATTTTCTCCTTAATACTATACACATTAACATAGCATTTCATAAGGACTGTGGCACAATTCACACTCTGACACTATCTTTACCCTTAGAAATGTATTCTTAACCAATTTTCTTTTTAAGTTGAATCCAGGTTATTGTTAAACTGTTACTGTCAATGAGTTCAATGACAGTTTTGTGTTCAGTGCCTGCAAGTTTTGAGAACAGTGTGTTTTGGTTTGATAAAAGTTGTTCATTCAATAAATGTTTAGGCAGAGGTCATCATGGCAAGTGAACGTGGACGGTGCTCATCGGCGGATAGCTTTATTTTGAATTTTTTGTTACACGATTCAGCTCTGGACAATAAGAATTGAAATGTTTTGGACTTTAGAGATTCAGTTATAAAAATGCCTGTATCGAAGGTGAAGTCCTATCAGTGGGTTAATGATATGCTGGTCTTTTCATCCACCATTACTCAACAAATTTCCACCAAAGGACTTTTGACCGTGTTTTTTTGTTAGTCTTTTATTTTGATCAAATACTGTACACCAGGCTTTGACTTTGATAATAATTTTAAATAATCCTTACCAGAAGGAGACCAGAGCGTAAAAAAAAAAAAATGTGTCCTGTCAATATTGTGTAGTGAGTTATGATATTCAGTTATACTTTCCCACAATAAGGGGGGGGGAAAAAAAAAGAAGAAAATTTGCCTTACTATTCAAGTTTTAAATCATATCCCCTCTATATATATACTGTATCTCATCTGTGCAACATTTTATCAATTAACAGCAAACATGAAAACTTGAACCCGATATTAATATTATGGTCATGGTATGGTTGGTGGATTGGCAATGCTGGACTGTATGAGTATTGTTAAGTTTTGCCAGCCTTTGCTTGATAATGTAAAATGCAAACTGTCTATGCAGCCTGCCAAAGTGAAATGTTTCTGAAAATGTCAAAAGAAAAAGTCTGTTGGTTTTTTTGTGAGAGATACTGTACTGGACGGCTAATAAAAATTGTGGATTCCCCCAAATTCCACTATACTATATGGAATGTGATCTTGCATTTGATGGTACTTCAGAATTTTTTATTGAGTTGGGGAAAGGGGGGCTTACTTCAAGGAGACACATTTCAATTTCATTTCATCTTTTGAAATTTTAAACTTCACATTTTCATACTTTCTACAATTCACGACCTTCTGATTTTTGTGTGCTGGTTTGTCCAAGTGTATATAATCAGGTGACTGAAGCAAGTGTTCATACCACCACCATATATACGGTATATGGCTCCTGTAATTTGAAAAGCTTATGCCTGATTAATAGAAATATGTGTTAGTTATCAAAGCCCTACAAACTTTAACAACCCAATTGGGCTATGTAGCTGTTAATGTACATATTATATCAGGTGGTTAAAAGTTAAACATATTGTGGCAGGAAATTGAAAAATTATGTATCTGCATGTCAGTGATTGACAATAACAACTCAATGTTCATCATTGCTACAGTGCCAGGTTCCCTTGTACCTGCACCACAAGTAAAATGCTTATTGTAAAATAAAGTTGAAGCATTTTCAGCTTGTAATCCATCTCACCTGTAATGGCAGGCTGATTAAGAGTGTTGTTCACAATGCCACTTGCTGTAGAAAAGAATATTTTTGTACAAGACAAATTATTTTATTTTTTATCTTTACTTAGTCTACAGTTAAAAACTTCATCCTGATTCCTACGCATGATGTAAAGCATTACGTACCAAGAAACGATAGAGATTTTTTACGGGTGGGTGGGGTGTGTATCGAACTCTGCCATTTTATGCTCAACATAATTGTAAAATGAAAAAGACAGGACCGCAAGTTGTATCAATTTGTTGCCACGATGATCATGCTGGCTGCCTATGTGTATTTGCTCTGACCTCATTCTTCATGCTCATTATTGACTGTACAGCGCTTCTGTCTCACTGTGCAATTTGTAGACAATGTGGACTTTCATGCAATAAAAATTGAAAGGTCATTAATGTTTGTTCACTTGACTCCTTCACTATAATTTAGTGTAGTGCTAATACACTGTATGGTTCATCTGTCTATGATGAGTAGTATTATTAACTTGACAGACTTATAGAAGATCAAGATACAAGACACAACATGGACCTTTTTTTCCCCTCTTACTTAACCAGTTCTTTCTTGCAAACAGGGCTAAATACTATACATGTGTATGTACTCAATTCCAACTTCTGTCACCCACACTTTCCTTGCATCTTAAGATCAAAATGATATCAAAAGAAAAGAGCATAAAAACACAACTGTCCCAGGACAAAAAAATCAAAAAAGGTCTTATAGTTTGGAGCATATTTATTCTGATGGACTTTTGAGTCTAATGACTTTTGATACAATGTTATGAAAATGAAAACCACATGTACATCATTGTCAACAAATTAGCAAATGAGAAGTGAAACAATGGAGGAAAAAAATAAGTTTAAAAAAAAGAACAAAACAAGTTGGGTTTTTTTCTCTAAAATTACAGAGACTTCGATCAAGTGGCAGTCCTCATTGGCGGAGAGACAAGTATGACGCCATCACCTCGAACAAACAACATGGGAATTGTTCTCTTGGTGGTCTGTGAACAGATGAAGTATAACAAACATCAACATTGGAGCCATATATTATATATAAGAGGACACTCATCTTTTTTTTTTGTAAGAGTTTTATGGCACTTGCATAACAGTGTCATATATTATAAGTGCCGAAGATTAGAGGTGGTACAAGAGAGTAACAAACATAAAAAAGAAGGAGGAGAGATAAAGACGATAGTTGTTTTGATAGGAAAGAAGGAGCAAACCGCACCAGAGCATCCGCCAACCACCTACGACACTCATCTGTCATGCCAAACAACAGAACACCACACTTAACACAGTGTTTCCATGAAAAAACCCTCAAAATCCCTCCTTACATTTCTTCCATACTCTTAAATCAACACTGGGAGGCAGAAAAAGAAAAAAGACACTTTGCATTGGACAAACATTTTCAACAACACCCTCCCCAACTCTCAACCTTTCTCATCTTATTGCCGTTTTTTGCCCTTTTCTGTTTGATTACTCCAACAAATGGTGTTTGTGAGGAACAGTATCAATGATACAAAAAGGGTAAATGGTGACATATAAACTTTGGATGGAAAAATACAGATCAAGGTACCCCCACCACTTCTATCTCTTTCTCTCCTTCAAAAACTCAATGCTTTTCTTTCTCCCAGATCCCC